CGTCTCGGGCCGTCGGAAGGCCGAAAAGAAGGAAATGCCAAAATCCGTCAAAAACCTTAGGAACATCATGTTTTGGCCTCTTCTGGCCTTCCTGGAGGCCCTCTTGGGGGCCTCTTGGGCCGTCTTGGGCCAGCTTCGAGCCAACTTCGGCCATCTTGGTGGGTTCCTGGCACGTCTGACGCCGTCGGGAGCCGTCTTGGGGGCCTTTCTGGGCCAACGGGGGACCCTCTTGGGGCGCTTCGGGGCCGTCTTGGAGGCCATCTTGGGCGTCTTGGAGGCCATCTTGGGCGTGTTGGAGGCCTCTTGGGCCGTCTTGGGGCCCTCTTGGGGCCATCTTGGAGGCCACTTGGGCCGTCATGGGGCCCTCTTGGGGGCCTTTTCAGCGATCTTGGGGGCCGTCTTGGGCCGTCGGAATGCGGAGAAGAAGCAAATTCCAAAATCCTTCAAAAACCCAAGGAAAATCAATGAGTTTGGCCTCTTCGGGCCCTCCTGGAGGACCTCTTGGAGGCCTCTTGGGCCGTCTGGGAGGCCTCTGGGGGGCCTCTTGGGCCGTCTTGGACTCTCTTGGGCCGTCTTGGAGGCCGTCTTGGACCATCTTGGGCGGACTTGGAGGCCATCTTGGGCCATCTTCGCGATTTGTTGAGGATGTCCCGAGCGAAACGGCTGTTTTTTGGAGCCGTCCTGGGCAGGAAATTTAGGAATTGGGGGCCTTCCGGGTGGCCGGCGGGACGAGCCGAAGCCCCAGGGGGGGTTCTTTTGGAAAAAGAACCAAAACCAAGGTTAGAGGGTTCGGCACGCCAGGCACCCCTTTGCTAAAGCAAAAGGGGGCGGCGGATATGGCGCCCTTCGGCCCATCCCGCCACCGCTCCTGGGTTGTGGGTTAAGAGGCTTCTTGGATGTTCGTTTGGATATCGTGGAAGGCTTCTCGGGGGCCTCGTGGAGGCAGTTTTGAAGCCTCTTGGGGACCGTCTTGGGGCCTCTTGCTGCCTTGGAGCGTCGGAAGCTGGGTTAAGCGAGAAGACTAAAATCAGTGAACACCCAATGGGGAATCCATGATCTTGGCCTCCTGCAGGTCCTCTTGGAGCCCTCTTGGGGCGTCTTGGCGGCCTCGTGGGCCATCTTGAGGACACCTTGGGCTATCTGGGAGATAGATTATGCAGTCTTGGAAACAAGAAGCAATTTTGGGCTCCAGTGGGGTCATCTTCGCCGTGTTGGACACAGTGGCGCCTTTGGCCGAGACCCCATTGGGAACCTTCTGGAAGGGCCACAACACATTGAAATTTAGCACGCCGTTCACCCATGTGGCGAGCCCATGGGGCGGCGGATCGAAGGCGCATACGGCGAATCACCACCGCCCCTTGACTTTCGGAGCGCCTATGTGGACGAACGTTCCGTCCAGAGCTCGGCCAAGCTATCGGACTATGTGTTCCCCCAGGTTTTGTGGAAACCATTCGGGGAGCACGTGAAGGAGAAAGAAGGAGAAGAGGAGAGGGAGGAAAGGAGGAGGAGGAGGAGGAGGAAAAGAAGAAGACCTCTAAGGGGCTTCCGTGGGCCTCTTGGGAGCCTTTGGAGGGTACTCGGGAGGCTCTTTGGCCGTCTGAGGGGCGTTCTTGGTCCGCCTGATTCCGTCGAAAGCAGTCTTGGGGGCCTCCTTGGACCGACTTGGGGCCCTCTTGGGGCGCTTCAGGGCCGTCTTGGAGGCCATCTTGGGCGTCTTGGAGGTCTCCTGGGCCATCTTGGGGATCTCTTGGGGCCGCCTCGGGGACCTCTTGGACGCTCTTGGATCTTGGTGGCCTCTGAGGCCGTCTTGGGCCGTCTTGGGCCGTCGGAGCGGAAACTGACCAAACGCCCCACTCCGTCAAAAAATTACGGAAAATCATTGAAATTGATTTTTGTCTGGCTTTCTTGGAGGTCCTCTTGAAGGCCTCGTGGGCTTTGGAGGTCTAATAATGGGGCCATCTTGCACGGTCTTGATGCCGTCTTGGGGGCATCTCGGCTCGTCTTGGAGACATCTTTGGGCCATCGTGGGCTTGGGGTCATCGTAGCCGTTTTGGAAACCATATTGGCTGCCTTAAAAGCAAGATTCGGCCATCTTGGAGCCATCTAGACCAGAACAATCCTTGCCGAACGGGTGTTTCAGGTGGCTGGCGGGTTGGACCGAGATCCCATTGAGATCCGTAAGGGCTTCGCCCCCTGCCGCCGGCCCCCTCTCGGAGAATGGGCCATGGAAGAGCGAAGTCATGAGGCTTTGGCTTTGCCGTGAAGCAGTGTCGGGACCTATTTGTTTTTCGACCCTGACCTTGCCGATCTGCGTGAGGGGTGCCACCGAATTTCAAACATGCGGAAAATCCGCTGTGTTTTTGGACCCTGACCCCGCCGATCTGCGTGAGGGGTGCCACCGAATTTCAGACATGTGGCAAATCATATGTGCTTTTGGACCCTGACCCGCCGATCTGCGTGAGGGGTGCCAGGAAATTTTAGAAATGTGGCAAATCCTTTGTTCCCTACCTAGGCTCTGCCTAGAAGGGTTCTTACTCTCTTAGCTTAAAGGGGCTGGGCAGTGGAAAGCGCCCCGGGCGGTTCCCCCGGTCCCCGCCCCGCGGTTCCCCCCAGCCCCCTGGGAGCTTTAGCTTTAGCTTTAGCTTTAGCTTAGCTTTAGCTTAGCTGTAGCTTAGCTTTAGCTTAGCTTTAGCTTAGCTGTATCTTAGCTTTAGCTCAGCTTTAGCTCAGCTTTAGCTTAGTTTTAGCTTAGCTTTAGCTCAGCTTTAGCTTAGCTTTAGCTTAGCTTTAGCTTAGCTTTAGCTTAGCTTTAGCTTAGCTTTAGCTTAGCTTTAGCTTAGAGTTACTGTTACTACTAATGCTGCTTTCCTAGGGGTTCCAACTCCTAGGTAGGGTCGCACTGGAATAATTTTTTTTGACCCTGACCCCGCCGATCTGCGTGAGGGGTGCCACCGAATTTAAAACATGCGGCAAATCCCCTGAGTTTTTGGACCCTGACCCCGATCTGCATGAGGAGTGCCACCGAATTTCAGAAATACGGCAAATCCCATGTGTTTTTGGACCCTGACCCCGCCGATCTGCGTGAGGGGTGCCACCGAATTTCAGAAATGTGGCAAATGCCATATGTTTTTAGACCCTGACCCTGCCGATCTGCGTGTAAGGGGTGCCACCGAATTTCAGAAATGTGGCAAATCCCTTGTGTTTTGGGACCCTGACCCCGCCGATCTGCGTGAGGGGTGCAACCGAATGTAAAAAATTGTGCAAATCCCGTGTGTGTGTGTGTGTGTGTGTGTGTGTGTGTGTGTGTGTGTGTGTGTGTGTGTGTGTGTGTGTGTGTGTGTGTGTGTGTGTGTGTGTGTGTGTGTGTGTGTGTGTGTGTGTGTGTGTGTGTGTGTGTGTGGTGTGTGTG